CTTCTTCTTCCTTCCTTCCTTCCTTTCCTTCCTTCCTTTCCTTCCTTCCTTCCTTCCTTCCTTCCTTTCCTTCCTTCCTTCCTTCCTTCCTTCCTCCTCCTTCCTTCCTCCTCCTCCTTCCTTCCTTCCTCCTCTCCTTCCTCCTCCTCCTCCTCCTTCCTTCCTCCTTCCTCCTTCCTCCTCCTCCTCCTCCTCCTCCTCCTCCTCCTCCTCCTCCTCCTCCTCCTCCTCCTCCTCCTCCTCCTCCTCCTCCTCCTCCTCCTCCTCCTCCTCCTCCTCCTCCTCCTCCTCCTCCTCCTCCTCCTCCTCCTCCTCCTCCTCCTCCTCCTCCTCCTCCTCCTCCTCCTTCCTCTCCTCCTCCTTCTTCTTCTTCTTCTTCTTCTTCTTCTTCTTCTTCTTCCTTCTTCTTCTTCTTCTTCTTCTTCCTTCCTTCCTTCTCCTCCTTCCTCTCCTCCTTCCTTCCTTCCTTCCTTCTTCCTCCTCCTCCTCCTTCCTCCTTCTTCCTCCTCCTCCTCCTCCTCCTCCTCTTCTTCTTCTTCTTCTTCTTCTTCTTCTTCTTCTTCTTCTTCTTCTTCTTCTTCTTCTTTAACTTCTTCTTCTTCTTCTTCTTCTTTACTTCTTCTTCTTCTTCTTCTTCTTCTTCTTCTTCTTCTTCTTCTTCTTCTTCTTCTTCTTCTTCTTCTTCTTCTTGTTCTTCTTCTTCTTCTTCTTCTTCTTCTTCTTCTTCTTCTTCTTCTTCTTTCTTCCTCTTCTTCTGCTTCTTCTTTCTTCTTTCTTCTTTCTTCCTCTTCTTTCTTCTTCTTCTTCTTCTTCTTCTTCTTCTTCTTCTTCTTCTTCTTCTTCTTCTTCTTCTTCTTCTTCTTCTTCTTCTTCTTCTTCTTCTTCTTCTTCTTCTTCTTCTTCTTCTTCTTCTATATTTTGCCCCCCAGGCCTTGATGTGGGTCATTATCAAATGGCCTGTGCCCAGGTGGGCTAATGCCCATTAAAAAAAAGATAACGATTAAGGTGTGAGGTTGTCATAAGCTTTAACAGGAGAACAAGAAGCTGTATCACTCTGGCTGGGGATTGAACCTGTCACCCTACATTGGGTTTTGGAGCCAATAACAAGTACTGTATATGTACAGGACACTCCTTGCCATTGCATTATACGTGAGGTGGTCGACGGGAAGTGATCTTTGCTGAAGTGTCTCACACCCCTCCATGCCAGCCAGCTGGGGCTGAGGCAGGCATTGTAAGTCTGGCAGCGAAAGGAAACTCGAGGAGAAGTCAGCCAGCAATCAAAACGTTCACGAGTTGCCGGCGTAAATTTTGTGAATGAAGATTTATGAGTTCCCCCCCCCGAAATTGCTCCTGTTTTTTGCCACAATGCCCAGAGTTTCTTTGCTTTTTTTTACCACAATGGGCAAGAGGAAAGATTTAACGAAAGAGCAGATAGTGTCAATTATTAGTCTGCATAAGGGCAAGAAACCTGTAAAGGAAATCTCAAGAATTAATGGTGTGAGTGAACGATCAGTTCAGATTTGGATTAAACAATATCGAGATGTTGACAGGTTGGCAATACCAGTGCTCAGCGGACGGCCAGGGAAGGCTAAAAAACTTCCCAACGCACATTAACTATTCTTAAGGGGCAACTTGATGCTAATCCACGTCTCTCAGCAAGGGAATTGAAAGAAAAAACCCTAGACTTCTAGGTGATGTTTCTGTAAGGACCGTTCACCGTCACATCCATACGACCTGCAGTTTCACAGCCACCATGCACACAAGAAGCCATTCCTCACCCTTGTCCAGAGGCAGCGTAGGGTTGCTTTTGCCAAGGCTAACACTCACTGGGATACGATCAAGTGGCAGCACGTGCTGTGGAGTGACGAGGCAACGTTTTCTTTTACTGGAAGTCGTTCTTTTAATGTGTACAGGCACCCCGGGAGTGATTCGTTTGACCCCAAGTTCACTTTTAGCACAGTTAAGCATTCTGAGTCACTAATGGTGTGGGGTTGCTTCTGGTATTTTGGAACTGGTGATCTTCTTGTGCTACCTAGGAATGTGATGATGAACCAATTTAACTACTTGGAGCAGCTTTGTGATTATTTGCCCGGGTCTTTTGAAAAATGCCACGCTGATGTGTTTATGCAGGATGGTACCCCATGTCACACAGCAAAATCTGCAATATAATGGCTTGTTGACTGTCAGGTAGACTTCATAAGTGATTGGCCAAGCAATTTGCCTAACCTTAACCCGAGAGAAAATAAGTGGAGCATTATCAAGCTTCTTCTACAAGGCAAGGACACAAATACTGTCCCCAAGCTGGAGGCAGCCATTCTGAGGAGTGGAATAAATTAGACCCACAAATAATCCACAACTTGGCAGAGTCAGTTCCTTCACGCCTGCAGGAGTGTTTCAAGAGAAAAGGGAGGCCAAAAGACTACCGAAAGTTTGTTAACTTCTCAGATTAATTTTTTATTAAGATTTCATCTTGTTGCTTATGTCCGTCACGACTCCGCGCATAATGCAATGGCGAGGAGTGTATATAAAAAAAATGTTTGACCACATTCTGTGTAAAACAGTAGGAGACCACAGATGATAGATATTGGGTCACTCATATACTTTGGTATATAGTTTAATTAACATAAGTAATGCAATGTGTACAGTATTTTTTCAGCATAATTGACGTGATGTTCGGTTACCAAACGTAGTAGGATCAGTATGCCACAGATCCACACATACCAACCCTCCCAGGACATTATGAGTTGCATGTACTGTAGCATTTTGTAAGTCATCAGACCCATCCTGGCAGATACTTTTGTCAGATATAATACCCCTTCAAAATTCAACATACTGTAGGTACCCCAATACTGTACTTAGACCTATCCAACTCGCACACTCTTTGTCATATAGAACAAGGTGAGGTGCTTTGGTCAAGTAGTAGGCACAACAAAAGTAATATATGCCAGAGAACACAAAGTTTAAAAATTTTGAAATACAACACCTGGCCCGGAGTGCCTCTTATACGAGGTAAAATAAGTTCCTTAATCCTTTCCCTAAATTTGTCTTTTTTCTCCACAGGTCAAAGAAAGCAAGAATGCCGTTGATAGAAGAAGTGTCAGAGACGAGCTATATCTGTGATAATGAAAACACTCCTTGTGATTTATTGACAGTCATACCAGATGAGGATTCGTCCACCTTACCAGCCGTGCCAGATCTCAAAGTTGGGTTTGGGAAAGTTTGTACTCCACAGAAAATTGGACATTCACAAAAAATGGGAAGTCCACAAAAAATTGGAGGTGGTCATAAACATTCGCACAGAAGAACGAGCACTGGATTAAAACATTCCTCAAAAAAACACATTGAGAAAGTAAGTACAAAGAAAATATTATGCTTTAGTGTTTTAAATTGTCCATGACAGGTATCGTACCTTGTGTTTTATTGTGTATGTATGACATTTTAATTTATTACCCCTTTGTGGCTATTTTCAGTTAGCACCTTTGTCAACAGTCTCAACCACACATTACACACACACACACACACACATATATATATATATACAGCTAGACCCCGACTTACGACGGGGTTAGGGACCCAAATCCAGGTCGTAAGTCCGACATAGATAAAAAAAAAAAAAAAAAATCTACAATGAAATACAGTACAGTAAAAGTAATAAATAATGAGGAATGGATACAGTGTGACTGAGCACTTACCTTTAATGTAGTCAGCTGAATGCACATGGGGCCCCCATAATTTTCTATTTATACATGGAGACTACATTAACTGGAAACGTTTCGGTATAGAAAATGCATGTCATTTAAAAAAAAAAATAAATAAAAAAAAAATGGTCACAACTGCAGCGATCGTAAGTCCCGACGGTCGTAAGTCGAAGCAGTCGTAAGTCGGGGTCTAGCTGTATAAGATAAAAACTGTAAGCCTAAAACCCTGGCTGGGCAGATGGGGGAGGGGGAGCGAGCAAGTGAGCAGGAGGTGAGATGATATGTTTGACTAAAAGAAACATAAAAGAAATAAATGACCTAAGTACAAACCTGTACTGTACATGTACTAAATGATTACGGTACTAAAATTGTTATGTCTAGTGCAAATTATAGCTTGTTTATATTCAAATTAATCACTATCTTACAAGAATCACAGCAATGTAAATTATATTCACCCAGGTCATTTCACTGGCATTTTATAAGAGAAAAACTTAGTCACTTAAGGACTGATAAATAAACACACATGAGACCTTCGGTGCCAACTGTCAAACACCTCACCTCCCGCCCCCTCCCTCCCTCCTTCTCCTCTTTTTATCTTTTTCACCACTCCCAAAAATATTGTCCCACATTTTGTAATCAAGAATCTGTTAACCTTAAATAAGTTTGATATCAGTTATAATTGATGTTACTTTATATGAAAGTAACAATTTATTCTATTTCAGATATGATTACTTAATGTATGTTAGACATAAGTACTGTACAGTTATATAATGTCACAGTATCCAAGAGCAACATGTGGAAGGTACAGCCTTTTAGAGTTATTTTATTTTATTTGATAGACAAAAGTGTAACATAAATTATTGTGTAACTGACAGAAAGAGGTGAAGATAGGAGACGGGGAGGAGGTGGAGAGCGGGGAGGCGGAGGTGAGCCTTTTGCCTGAGATGCCACATGTGGAGCGTCCCCCCATCATCCGCACCTGCCAGCCCACCTTCCTGCCAACTTTCCTCCTACACACCTGCTCCAAGGTATCATAATGATAATAATGATACTCTAAAGTTAATAATAATGTCATGATTTAATCCAACTTTTTTCCTTAGGGTATAATGTCACTAAATTCTTTACTGTGATGTGGTTTGCTCATAGTCTGCCCTTCAGTATATCTTTGTTTGGGTTACTGAAGTCTTGAATTATTCTTGTAGTAAGATTTAAGGTGTTTGATTCCTGACAATATTATTTTAAGCATGCTGGCATGATATCCAAGTACTGTACAGTACTGTATAAAGATGCCTTGGGTGATGTTGAAACCATAAATTTGTAATAATCTTATTTTTTAAACCACATTTGTTTTGACCATTTTTGAGTCTTGCTAAAACTTTTTTTAACCTAATCCTCGTTATCATGTGTTGGCGCAAAGACCAGTATTTATTGGCAGGTCCGTGGGTTACTAATAGACCTCTGACACTGCCCAGTATGCTTTGACACAATTATCCATTTTCTGCTTTACAATACAATGATATTGTATGGTACCATGGACCTGGCCATCTTACTTCCCTAATGAGACCTCCAGACTCTCCTACTGCACCTTTCTCATCTACAGTGCTTGTAAACATTGTATACTTTCCACCTTCACACACTGTCCTCACACACCAGGTATAGTTTATATCTGCTCATTCATAGACTTTGCTTTGCTCAGGAGGCCTTACGGCCACACTGCCCACGAGGATGAGAGGCAGCGAGATGATACTCGTCCAATAGGAACATGATGACTGCAGAGTCGCCATAACATGAACAAAAATTATATCTGCCATTGTGGCATTGTGGGTTCCTTCTCCTACAGTAGGAACATCTATAAGGTGTTTGTAGTGTCAGTCCATGGTTGTTGTAAGGCAAAGATTGAGCCTCAGTGAGGTGGAAAGCTCAGAGCCTTTCCTTACCTTGATTAATGTAACTTTCTGGCGAGACAAGTCCACTTACTTCCCCAGACTAAATGGGATTGACGGAGGTGTTTGTCCTCTACGGTTTTAATTGTTCTCATTGTCTAGTGTGATTTTTTTTCTAATTTCTTCTCCATTGTAAACTTATGTGGGTACAGTTAATCCCACTCCTTCATGGACTTTCAATTTGCAATTCACTAAACTTTGGACTTTTAAATTGTGGTACTGTACAAAATATATATTCCTGTAATCCACTCTGATATGGGCAAGTCCACATAATGAGACTTTGGAAAACACTTATAGATGTTGTGTAAAACTTTTTCTTGAGGTATACATTGTGTATTTAACAGACCCTCGATATAACGGACTTTCCTCTCCACATAGTCCGTTAAATAGAGGTTTTACTGTGGTTGTTTAGAATGGTAATGGGATGATCAGCAGAAATATCAAACACCATCACTATGGATAATTACTTCAGGTTAAACAGAGTGCTTCTTCCTACAAGTTATAGCCAATAGCCTCTGCACTTAATGTGCAATATCTCTTTAAAAGTAAATTATCTAACAGCACAATGAAGGCTAAAGAGATATTAAAAGAAACATAAGAAATATTACAGGGTTGTGTTGGCATGAAGTACTGCACAACATTATTACTGTGTACACCATTATACATTACTGTGTACACCATTATATATTACTGTGTACACCATTATATATTACTGTGTACACCATTATACATTACTGTGTACACCATTATATATTACTGTGTACACCATTATACATTACTGTGTACACCATTATATATTACTGTGCACACCATTATACATTACTGTGTACACCATTATACATTACTGTGTACACCATTATACATTACTGTGTAGTTTTTAGTTTTTTTTTACCATCATCCTCTTCACCACTGATCGACTAGTTAGCCGCTTGGGCAATCGATCACGTCTCTGTTACACACTGTTGGCAAGTACTGGGCATGCACTGGCTCCTGAATGTATCTGAACCTGCTCCAGTGTTAGTCAACTCTGGTCTTGAAACAGCTCACACTCGGTGCCGTCTCAACACTCTCTGGCAGGTTGTTCCAAGAGTTCACAACTCTCACTCTGAGAAAGTTACCCCTCACAGTTTTCTGGACTTGCGGCTTCTTCAACCTTGAGCTGTGACCCCTTGTGGGGCGAGTGTCCGCCAGCTCCAGGTATGGACACTCGACTGAGTAGTGCCCGCTGAGATGTTTATACACCTAATTAGGTCGCCCCTTGCCCATCTGTAGTATAAGCTAGGCATTTGCAGGCGCTCTAATCTCTCTGAGTTGCTGAAGTGCCAGCACCAGTCTAGTCGCCCTCCTTTGGACATTTTCAATCAGCTGACAGTCCCTAGTATATCTCGTGGACAAGACGGGGAGACAGTACTCCAGGCGGGGAAGCACCTCACTCTTGAAGACCTAATAATTTAGTTGTTTGATTCACCTTCTTCTCGCAATGGCCCGAGAACTTCAGTTCATTGTCAACATACACACCAAGGTCCTTTTCACATTCAGTCTCAATTAATGCAGTTTCTTCGCCCCGTTGGGACATATGATACGTCTCCTTACCGTTGGTACGTCCCAGGTGCATCCTCTTACATTTCGTGACATTGAATCTTAGCAGCCATTTCTTCAACCATTCTTGAAGCTCACAAGAGATCTTTCTCCAGCTCTTCACAGTCTGTTTGGTTCTTAATTTCTCTAAATAATTTGGCATCATCCACAAACATTTGTATGGAGGAGTGTACAGCATAAGGCATGTCATTTATGAAACACAAACAACAATGGGCCCAATACACTGCCCTGTGGTACCCTGCTTGTCACTGGTACACATGACGATTTTGTTCCATTAATCACCACACACTGCTTGCGATCATAGAGAAAGTCTCCGATCCACGCTAGGACACTTCCCTGAATCCCGTACCCTTCCAGTTTAATTCTCAGCCTCTCATGGGGTACGCTGTCCCGGCATAAAACCGTGTTGGCAGTTCTTTACAGGGTTGTTTCATAGTGGATGTTCCATCATGGCATCTCTTATAATGCTCTCAAGTACTTTACAAACTATGCTGGTCAGGCTCACTGGTCTATAATTATTCATGGAGTGATGTTCACCCTTCTTGAAGATAGGATGCACCTCTATTTATAACTGTACACCATTATTCATAGCTGTGTACACCATTATACATCACTGTGTACACCATTATACATCACTGTGTACACCATTATACATAACTATGTACACCATTATTCATAACTGTGTACACCACTATAACTGTGTACACCATCATACATTACTATGTACACCATTATACATGACTATGTACACCATTATTCATAACTGTGTACATCACTATAACTGTGTACACCACTATAACTGTGTACACCATCATACAATACTGTGTACACCATTATACATCACTATGTACACCATATATCACTATGTACATCATACATCATCATGTATACCATACATGACCCTACACTATACATGACCGTGTACACCATACATGACCACGTGCACCATACATGACCCTACACTATACATGACCGTGTACACCATACATGACCACATACACCATACATGACTGTGTACATCATATATGACCATGTACATCATACATGACTGTGTACACAATACATGCCTGTGTACACCATACATGCCTGTGTACACCATACATGCCTGTGTACACCATACATGCCTGTGTACACCATACATGCCCGTGTACACCATGGGAGAGTTGACTACATGTTCTTCTTGGTTGTGACAGGCTCAGTGCTTGGAGAAGGAGGTGGTGTGCCATGACCGGTCAGCTGCCTGGTGGAGGGTGAGGGCTGCTCACTCTGACACTGCTGAGGGCCTCTCCTACCTCATCTATGGCTCCTCACAGGTTAGTTCCCACTCCTAAGAACATAAGAATGGAGGAAACTACAGCGGGCCTATTGGCCCATACTGGGCAGTACCGTTTACACCCAACCCCTATTGCTCATATATCCATCCAACCTATGTTTGAAGCTATCCAGCGTATTCAAGTTAATGATGATGTTTGGTAACTTGTTCCACTCATACACTACTCTATTTCCAAACTAATGTTTACCTATCTCGCACCTAAATCTAAATATGTCTAATTTAAAACCATTGCTACGAGTTCACTCCTGGTTGGATAGTTTTGAGTACCTTTGTTATATCGCCCTGATTTCCATTTATACACCTGACTCTACATCTGTTGAGGGAGTGCAAATTAAGATGCTTTAACCTGACTCTGTACTCAAGGTTCCTAATGCCCGGGATTAGTTTTGCTATTCTCCTCTGAATTCTTTCTAGGGATTATATATCCATTCTGTAGTACGGTGACCAGAACTGAACTGATTAACCTAAGTGAGGTCTCACAAGCGCAAGATAACCCCGCTAGTCTTGTAACTAACACTCCTTTGTATGAACCCAAGTACGTCTAGTACTTTTTTAGCCTTGTTTCGAGCAAATACACTTTGTTGACTTGGCTTAAGATTTCTACTTATCATTACCCCTAAATCTTTCTCACAGTCGGATTTCTCTATAAAAACATTTTTCATCTGATATCTGGTTTTTCTGTTTACATCTCCTAGACTAAGTACTTTACATTTGTCCACATTAAATTTCACCTGCCATTTTTCGGACCATTCAAAATATTTGTTTAGATCTTCCTGTAGTTTAGCGGAGTCCTCATCTGATTTAATTACATGCCCTATTTTAGTGTCTTCAGCAAATTTATATATGTTGCTGTCTACTCCTATATCTACAGTATGTTATTTATGTATATAATAAATAGTAATGGTCCAAGTACTAAGCCTTGGGGTACTCCACTAGTGAGTGATAGTGATGTTACTCTAATCGGATTTAGTGCCGTTAATACTGACCACCCAAAAAAGCACACAATAACAGCCCGGGCGTTCGCTAGGATGGCGCTGGCTACAACGCAATAGTTGCGTTCTTGTAAACCTCTTTTACGTTCACCACCAGCAATTCGATCATCAGAACGCTTCTTGGAAACATTCTTCTTACCTTGTCTTTCCACATTCATAGCTAACACAACAAAATTGGAGAAAACAGCGAAAATCACAGAGCAATTGACAGAAACCGCGCGATTCAACTGATCACGTGATGTAAACAGTGAGCGCTGGTGAAAACTGTTATTAGTCCTCACTGTGAAACATTCTTTTTGCTTAGTCTTTTCATACAGTATTTATGGGTAACAGCTAAATTTGCGAAAAAAAAACTTTTTTACAGAGTATCTCTCAAAAAACACTTCACAAACAAAGGACACGAATCAATTGAGCATGTGATGTCGAACATGAACTGTAAACATTGCATAATACGCCTTGAATGCGGCGATGACACCTTGGTCCATAGGCTGCATCAGTGCTGTCATGTTGGGAGGCAGGAATACAACTTTTGCACTGTCATGCAAGTCGTCGAGATTGGGAGAATGAGCTGGAGCATTGTCAATGACAAGAAGAATTTTGAAGTCAAGGTTCTCCTTGGCACAGTAATCCTTCAGTGCAGGGATGGCATACACGTTTAACCACTGGCTAAATATGGCTCCGGTTATCCATTCCTTCTTGTTTGCCTTGTAAATGACAAGAAGGTGATCCTTAGAGTAACCTTTCAGGGCCCGTGGGTTGGCAGCCCGAGAAATCAGCATAGACTTCAGCTTGAAGTCGCCGGCAGCGTTTGCTTCAAGCAGCAGTGTAATGCGCATGTGGTCTTTTGCCGCTTTAAAACCTGGCACTCTTTTCTCCTCCTTGGAGATATAGGTCCTCTCATGCATCCTCTTCCAAAAGAGACCAGTCTCATCCACATTGAAGACTGGCTTCGGTGAGTAGCCTCCTTGCTGGATAATCCTTTTGAATTCTGGCGGGAATGTCTCGACAGCAACCGTATCTGAACTGGCAGCTTCACCAGTCATCTTAATATTGTGGAAGTCATACCTGCGCCTAAATCGTTGAAACCAGCCTTGGCTGGCTGTAAAAGTCTCTTCCTTCGATCCTTCACCCTCTTCTTCCTTTAAGTCGTCAAACAAGGATTTTGCTTTGTGCTGGATAACCATAAGGCTCACGGGGGCATTGCGTTGATTCTGGTCCTCCATCCACATAGCCAACATCTTTTCCAGCTTTTCAATCACGGAACTTCGAGTACGACTTGTCTTTGTTGCACTCAGAGAAGTGCCACTTCCAGCACTAGCCTTAATCTTGTCCCTGCTGGTCCAGATAGTACGCACCGTTGTGGGGGTTAGACCTAAGGAAGCAGCAATGTCCACAGCACGTTCACCTTTCTCAATACGGGTTAAAACCTCCATTTTCGTAATGAGACTAATGGTCTTGCATTGCTTCTTCACTAGCATCACTAGCACTTGATGGGTGCTTGAAAGCCATTTCGAATTGTTAGAGTACAGTATTAAGAGCAAACACATTTAAACATGCACGAATGCTGTGGAAGCCTAACAAAGATTGGCGACGCTTGGGGACGCTGCATGATGCTCCGTGAGTGAGAGCATCGTAACGCTCAAAAAAATGCGTCGTACAAAGTAATCCGTGACTACATTATACCGAATCGACAAAGTGTTATCCGAATCACGGGTATCTAAAGAATATTGACGTTATAACGAAACAACGTTATTGGGGCAACGTTAAACGAGGATTTACTGTACATTATTTTCTTTATTTAGAGTATAAGCCACATTACAGTATTGTAATGATGCTCACTTGGAGCACATAATCCCCAGTTTTTCCACATTCCCTCCCGAATTTTTCCAGTGAGTCGAAGATCACTAAATTGAATACAGTGGTCCCTCGGTTAACGAGCACAATTCGTTCCTGAAGGTTGCTCTTTAACCGAAAAATTCGTGAACCGAAACCATTGTTTCAATGGGTTTTTGGGTAATTGGTTCCAGCTCACCGAAAATTGCCTAAAGTCAACAAAAAAGGTAGTAAAGTACACTTACTTTGATGTGTATGTAGAAGGCTCCTGGATGATGATGCTGATGTGAATTTGAAGTGGGAGGTGGAGGAGGAGAAGGGAGAAGAGAAGGAAGTGGGGGTGGAGGAGAAGCATTTTACTGTTTCTTGGAAGGTGAGTCACCTTCCATGAAAATGTCAGGAACCTCTGGACTGACAGATTTTCCAGCAGGAACATCCTCTCTCCTTCTTGAAGTGGAAGGCTGAGGGCTAGCATCTTGTTCCCGCTACCTTTTAGTGAAGAAACTGTCAATTTTTGTCTGTGGGGCATCTCTCCTCCTCATCATTAACTGAGGGGGGACCGGTGGTAGAAGCGGTACCGTTCTTGCCTCGCAAGCGAGATGTCACGGGTTCGATTCCCGGGCCGGTGGAAGTTGTTTGGACTTACTTCCTAGCCCCCATTAGTCTCTGTTCACCTAGCAGTAAAGTAGGTACCTGTTGTAAGTCGAAAGTTGCGAATTCGTATTCAGGGAGTTGTTGGAGCTTCCACTAACTTGATGACATAAACCACTGACTCTTTAGGCTTCTACGCCCTTGACTCTTCATGCTTCTACGCCCTTAACTCATAAGACATAAAGGCAAGCATGAACTTAGCATGCTTCCCTGTTGGTCGCTGTAGACGCTTCTGCGCTTCACTTTACACAAGGATGTAGGGGAGTGCCCAGTAAGTAAAAAAAAAAAAAAAAAATTCATTAACTGATGTTTGAAGAAGGAGACCACTGTGTCCTCAACTAATTCTGATTTTTCCACATCTCGGTGCCTTGAAGCCAGTTTCCTGAACTTCTCCCAGTGATCAACAACATCTTTCAAATCTGAAGTTGACATATGATCATCACTTTCCTTTTCCTCCTCACCACTGTCAGCCTCTAACATCTCATCCAGTTGCTGCAAGTCTTCAGGAGTAAGTTCCTGCTCATAAGACATCACAAGCTCTTCTACATCCTCCTCCTCCACTTCAAGGCCCAATGACTGACCAATAGACACAATCTCCTGGCCCAACTCTGCTTCTTCCTGAAATCCCTCAAAATCTTTCACTACTGATGGCCATAGTACTTTCCATGAAGAATTGAGGGATCTAGTGGAGATTTCTTGCCATGAGGACACAATCAATTTTACAGCCTCCAGGATGTTGTATTGTGTCTTCCAGAACTGTGACAGTGATAGATCAGGATCAGTGGTAGTTGCCTGATGACAACTCCGAAACATTTTCTTCATGTACAGCTTCTTAAAGTTGCTGATCACATTCTGGTCCATTGGTTGTATGATTGATGTAGAGTTGGGAGGCAAAAACAACACTTTCACAAAGTCAAATTGAGACTCCAAAGTGCTGGCAAGTTGAGGGTCATGACCTGGGGCATTATCCATAAGGAGAAGAGCCTTTAAAGGGAGTTTATTGGTGGTTAGGTAGCTCTTCACAGAAGGGCAAAACACCTCAACAGCCCATTCATTAAAGAGCTGTCTTGTTACCCATGCCTTACGGTTGGACTTCCAATAAACTCCAAGCTGTCCTCTTACCACTTTTTGTTGCTTGAACACCCTGGGGTTCTCAGAGTGGTAGACAAGCATAGGCTTCAGTTGGAAATCCCCTGAAGCATTGGCACCAAGTAATAGAGTGAGACGGTCTTTCATGGGTTTATGCCCAGGTAAAGAGGCTTCATCTCTGGTGATGAATGTTCTTTTGGGCATCTTTTTCCAGAACAGCCCAGTTTCGTCCACATTGAACACTTGCTGTGGAAGATGATTTTCTGTATCCACCAGTTCTTTAAATTCCACTAAAAATTTTGCTGCCCCTTCCTTATCAGCACTGGCAGCCTCACCATGCCTAACAACACTAAAAATGTCACTTCTTTTCTTAAATTTTTCGAACCAGCCCTTGCTGGGCCTAAACTCTTCAAAG